AGCCGCAGCAGCAGCAGCGGCAGCTTCTGCTGCTGCTGCTGCAGCTGCTGCTGCTGCAGGTTTTGAATTTAGGCGGTTGTGGGTGTATAGGGTTTGAGAGCGTAGAGGGTTTATGTTGTGTTATAAACACAATGAAGTAAATTACTTAGAATAAATATAATAAAATTAAATTAAATTAATTAAAATAAATAAAATAATAAAATATATAAAAAGAGCAAAATAAAATAATTATTTTGTAGACTTTTTGTTAATTAGTGAAGTACTTAGAGTGCACATCAAATAAATATAAATAAATAAATATAAATAAATATAAGTAAATAAATACAAATAAACAAATATAAATAAATTGAATAAATATAAATAAATATAAATAGTTAAATAAATAATTATTTATATTATTTTGTTTTTTGGTTGGACAGCGAAATAAATAAAATTTGCCCGAGGTTGCTGCTGCTGCTGCTGCAGCAACTGCTGCTGCTGCTGCTGCTGCAGCTACTGCTGTTGCTGTTGCTGCTACTGATGCTGCTGCTACTTATGCTAGTGTTGCTGTTGCTGCAGCAGATGTTGCTGCAGCAGCAGCAGCTTCTGCTGCATCTGTTATGAAAACAAAAACAAAAGAATAAACAAATAAACAAAAACGAACAAAGTGAAGAAAGAAATAAATAAACAAATAAACAAATAAAATAAAATAAATAAAACAAATAAACAAACGAACAAATGTAAACAGACAAACTAAATAATAAATAAACAGATGTACGAATCTAAGCAAACATACAAATAAATAAAATAAATTAAATAAAAAAGAAGTAAATAGATAAATAGATAAACAAAATAAACAAAGACAAAGACATGCAAACAAAGAAATAAACAAACAAGAGAAGATATAAACAAAAGAACAGCAAGAAGAATTAAATAAAGAAGTAAATAAAATATATAAAAGTAAACAAACAATCAGACATACAAATACACATTAGGATAAATAAGCATGTAAATAAACAAACAAACGAATAAACAAAATAAACAAATAAATTAAACAAACAAAACAAACAAATAAATTAATTAAATAAATAAATAAATAAAATAAAGTAAATGACATAAACAGAGTTGAGGCCGCCGTTCTGTTTTTTCGTCTTTGTTTAGATTGAGATGAGCAAAGACAAAGTAGAAATATATAATTAAATAATTATATATAATTAAAATTATATTAATATAAATAATGCATTAAACAGAAACAAAAACAAACAAAGCAGCAGCAACTGCAGCAGCAGCAGCAACAGCAGCAGCAGCAGCAATGAGGGGCCCCTGGGGGGCCTCATGCATTTTGTTGTTTTTGTTTGCTGCTGTCTTCATTTGTTTATTTTGTTTAGCTTGCTTTTATTTATCTCATTAAAAACCTTCTCTGTCTCTTCTCCTAGGGGCCTTCGCCTCCGCTGCTGCTGCTATTGCTGCTGCTGCTGCTGTTGTTGCTGCTGCAGCAGCGGGGCCGCTCTATCTGTCTGTGTAGCCTGCAGCAGCAGCAGCAGCAGCAACAGCAGCAGCAGCAGCAACGGGGAGACCCAATCCAATGCATTGAATAGGGGCGGGGGCCCCTAGCAGCAAACAGGGGCCCCTGCTAGCTAGCTGCAGCGGCTCGCGGCCCCCAGCTGCAGCAGCAGCAGCAGCAGCAGCAACAGCAGCAACAGCAGTAGCAGCAAGGGCGATTCTAGTAGCAGTGGCGGCAGCCTTTAGCAGCGGCGTCTGCAGCTGCAGCAGGAGCAGCTGATACTGCGCCAGCGGCAGCAGCAGCAGCCTCTCCACGCTGCACACAGCTGTAGCAACAGCAGCAGCAGCAGCAGCAACAGCAACAGCAGCAGCAGCAACAGCAACAGAGGGGTTTGGATGGTTTGGGCTACTTTGTGGGGGCCCCTGCACGATGAGCTCTCCGCAGGAGGGCCCCCAGCGGCCTCTCGAACCGCTGCCAGCAGCAGCAGCAGGAGCAGCAGGAGCAGCAGCAGCAGCAGCAGAGAAGATCTTGTCTTGCAGCAGCTGCTGCTTCATTCGCGAGTCTGTAGGGCGCCTGCAGCGCGCCGCTCCGGGGGGTAAGAAGGGGAAGCCCTTAAAAGAAGCAGCAGCAGCAGCAGATGCAGCCTTGCTGCGGCTGCTTGACGAGCAGCAGCAGCAGCAGCAGCAGCAGCAGGAGTTGCAGTTGCAACGGGGCGGAGCAGAGAGTGCAGCAGCAGCAGCAGGGTCTGTTCCTGTGTCTCTCTTTGCTTCGCTTTGTGCTGCTCCTGTATGTAGGGTTATTACAATTTGTTTGTCTCAACCCGGCAGCAAACTGCAGCTGCAGCAGCAGGCGCTGCAGCTAGCTCAGCTGCTGCTGTCTCTGGGGGCCCTCCCCTCCGCAGCAGCAGCACCTGCAGCAGCAGCAGCAGCAGATGCACCAATCCAGACCGGCAACGCGCTGCAGCAGCCACCACCTGCAGCAGCAGCAGCTGCTGCTGCTGGTGCTGCTGCTACTGCTGGTGCTGCAGCCGAGGAGCAGCAACAGCATCAGGTTGCTCCGGCTGGTTCGCTTTCAGCATCGTCATCATCATCAGCAGCAGCAGCATCAGCAGCAGCAGCAGCAGCAGCAGGAGAAGCAGCAGAAGGCACAGTGGAGCATCTGATAGCAGCAATATGCCGCATTGCTGCTGCAGCAGACGACGTGCTGCTGCAGCAGCAAGCAGCGCGGTGTCTGCTCACCTCGCTTTCTTCTTCATCTCCTCCTCTTCATGGAATTCACTTGCTGCAAGTATTTGCTGCTCTCTTCTCGGGTTGTGCTGCTGCAGCAGCAGCAGCAGCAGCAACAAACGCCAGCAAAGCAGCACATACTGCGCTGCTGCAAGCCCTTGGGGAGCTCCTCCACAGGGCAGACGCAGCAGCAGCAGCTGCTGCTGCTCCTCCTCCTCCTGCTGCTGCTGCCGCTTCTGAGGCCGAGGCAGAGGCGAGTGCAGCAGCAGCAGCAGCGGCAGCAGCAAATGGGGAAGCTGCAGCAGCAGAAGCCCCAACAGAGACGGAAGCAGCTGCAGCAGCAACAGCAGCAGGAGCTGCGAAGTCGCTGCATACTTCAGCAGTAGAACGAGTGAATGCTGCTGCTACTGCTGCAGGAGACACCCCACCAGCAGCAGCACCAGCTGCTGCAGCAACAGGAGCTGCAGCAGCAGATGCAACAGCAGTAGCGAGAGAGGCTGAGGAGTCCTCTCTATGTGATAAGATAAGCCCAGCAGCAAAAGCAGCAGCAGCAACAGCTGCTGCTGCGGCTGCTGCTGCTGCTGCTGCTGCTGTTGCTGCTGCTGAAGCAGAGGACACGCCTGCAGCAGGAGCAGAAACAGAAGCAACATCAGCAACAACAGCGACAGCAATAGACACCCCACGAGCACCACAATCTCCAGCAGCAGCAGCAGAAGCAGCAGCAGATATCCCTGCAAGTTCACCCGAGTCGTTTGAATCCTACGCAGCAGCAACAGAAGCAGCAGCAGCAGCAGCAGCAGCAGCAGCAAAAGCAGCAGCAGAAAGGGGGGCAGCTGCGCCAGCATCGCCTGACGGCCCGCTGCGTCACCGCAGCAACAGCAGCACCAACATAGGCAGCAGCAGCATCAGCAGCAGCATCAGCAGCAGCATCAGTAGCAGCAGCAGTAGCATCAGCAGCAGCAGCAGCAGCAGCAGCAAGATGGGTGCATGTCTTGTGATGGCGAGAGAGGTAGAGGATTTGCTGCTGCTGCTGCAGGCCTTCAGCCGCATAGCAGCAGGCGGGCGCATCAGCAGCACAAATGAAAAAGTCTTCATTTGTTATGGTGCTGCAGCAGCAAACAAAACCGGCAGCTCTCGCTGCAGACAGCTGGCTCTAGAAATGATATTAACGCTCCTCAAGGTACCACGTACTGCTGCTGCTGCTGCTGCTGCTGCTTTGGGTGCTGCTGCGAATGCTGCTGTTGCTGCTGCTGCTGCTGCTTTGGGTGCTGCTGCGAATGCTGCTGTTGCTGCTGCTGCGGATGCTGCTGCTGCTTTGGGTGCTGCTGCGAATGCTGCTGTTGCTGCTGCTGCGGGGGTTGCTGCTGCTGTAGCTGCTTCTGTGGGTGCTGCAGTTGTTGCTGCGGAGACTCCTGAGCTTAGTGCTGCTGCTGTCGTTGCTACAGCACCAACGACTGATGCTGCTGCTGCTGCAGCAGCTTCATTCGGCTCCACTTCCGCTGCTGTTGCTGCTGCTGCTGCTGCTGCTGGGTTGTGCTTCAGGGCATGCCGAGTTCTTTGTGGCAGCATCAGGGTTTGCTGCTGCTGCTGCAGCAGCAGCTGCTGCGAGCTCTTGAAAGGAGCATCAAAGACGCAGCTGCATGCAGCCTTTCTCTAGACATCGTTATTTGCCTTGCGGAGGCAGCAGAGGTGCGCACTTCTGCTGCTGCTGCTGCTGCTGCTGCTGCTGCTGCTGGGGCTGCTGCTGCAGGGGTAGATGCCGCTGGCGCGGAGGCTGCCGCTGGTGCTGCTGATGCTGCTGCTTCTGCTGCTGATACTGCTGCTGCTGTTGCTGCTGCTGCTGTTGCTGTTGTTTGTTGGCAGTTGCTGCTGCAAGTAGAGGTTTTTTCTTTTTAATTAATTTATGCATGCTTTTGTGTTTGTTTATTTTCTTTAGGGGCCCCTGGGTCTGAACTTGTGCTGCTTCGTGGGTAATGCGGTGCTGCCGCTGCTGCTACCTCCGCAGCAGCAGCAGCAGCAGGTGCAGCAGCAGCAGCAGCAGGTGCAGCAGCAGCAGCAGGCGCAGCAGCAGCAGCATTTGCTGCAGCAGCAGCTGTGTGTGGTGCAGTTTCTCGGGCGTCTGTTTGCTGCTGCTCCCAGGCTGCTTGTGCTGCTGTTTGCTGCTTTTGATTTATCTGCTGCTGCTGATGATGTGCTGCTGCGAGGTGTACAGACACTGCGGCAGATTGCTGCAGCAGCAGCAGGTGAGACAACCTCTTTATTATTATATTTCTTCTTTTTTAATTCTTTTTAACTATATTAATCAAAGTAAATTTATAAAGCGGGGTAAACAAATGATTATTTTGCGCCGCATGTTTGTTTTTATACGCATGCAGTTTATATTTAAACATTATATATATAAAAGATATATGTATATATAAATAATTTATATATATATACATATATATAATAGATATATGTATATGTATATATCCAATATATGTATATAAATGCGTATATATCTCTGTATACATGTGTATATATGTGTATGCATATATGTATGTATATAGAGTTGTATAAACAAGAGGGATAAGATGCTGCTGCTGCTGTTGCTGCTGCTACGAGATTTGTGTTGTGTGTGTGTGTGTGGTGGTCTGCAGACGTAACGACAGCAGCAGCAGCAGCACGGCAGCAGCAGCAGCAGCCGTTGCTGCTGCTGCAGCAGCAGCTGCGAGCAGCAGCAGCAGACACGTTGCTGAAGTTGGTGGTGTCGCTGAAGGATTGGCGCCAGTCGCAGCAAGAAGAAGCAGCAGAAATGCATGCGAAAACAAAAACAAAAACAAAGATGAAAATTAAAATAAATGAAGAAGAAATACAAAGACGATTTTTATATCTTGAGTCTTCCCTCTGCCCAGACACCCCAGCAAACGCCAACGCAAACCAGCAGCAGCAGCAGCAGCAACAGCAGCAGCAGCAACAGCAGCAGCAGCAACAGCAGCAGCAGC